TTCCCTACACGACGCTCTTCCGATCTCCCCAAAACCCCAAAACCCCGAAAGTAAAAATATAAGGATTATATGAAAGTTAAAAAATGAAAATCATTTGAAATTAGAAATGTTATGAAAATAGCAAATTTGTTAATAACTTATGCCTTATTGTTCCTTCAAAATTAAGGATGATATAATTTTGAAGAGGCTTAGCCCTGCATGAGATCTTTGAAATGTCCTGCTTTGGTAGTATTTTCTCTGCCTGAAGTACCAAAGTGGCATGAAGGTGATGATCTATTGTTAGATACTGGTTGTCTTCCAATTGACGATCTATTATCGAAAGTCTAATTCTTTGAGATACTCTTCATATCACCTTGAGTTCTTCCAGCTTTGGGTAAAGTCCACTTAGGTGGATTCTCTTTCGTAGATGGATTAGCTGAGGCCTCTGGAACATATCTTCCTGGTCCTACAGAATTAGGTGAGGATTAAGCTTGCTTTAAAGCATTTCCTCTTCTGAAACCGAAAGTATACTTAGGCTCGTGCTTCAACTCTGGCTTATCCTTTGGTAAATATTATGGCCCTGGACTTGATTCTAGAGTGTTTAATTGCATCTATAACATCAATTAACTTTAAATATATTACTCTAGGTTCAGTTCCAATTTTATGAGCGATAGCCTTTGGTTTTCTAACTATATCGGCTGTAAGTGGATCGTCCAAAAAGGCAGCATTTTCATAAAAATCAAATTTAGGTTTGATTGCACTCATTTTTTCCGAAGTTCCGAAACCCCATCCTGGATTCTATAAAATTTAAGATTAATTAGAGTAAAGTACCTTTTGATATTTGACTTAATCATCGTACTGATATATAGGGCCTGGAGACATTTTACCAGCATTGGCAAGCTTAGTTAAGTCACTGCCCAAGAATTGTTTTTCTTGATCTCTCTTAGCTTAAGAGAAACCGAAAATAGGTTAAGATCTTTCAACTGACAAAGGCAACTTTCCAAAGGAGGTCTTAGCCTATTTGGAATCTAATGCTCTAGCAAGAGATTGAAGTCCTAATAACTTATAAAACTTAATTAGTTTTTTTACCTGCCATTGTTAGGGGCTTGGATGTTTTGTTACCCTCTTGTTAATTTTCCTCAGCCATTTTATTTTATTCTTTGATTATATATCCCATAACGTCAATATTAATACTAGAGGGGTTTTGGGGTTTTGGGGTTTTGGGGTTTTGGGGTTTTGGGGTTTTGGG